AAATGGAAGTGAGGGAACATCTACACATGTAGAATCATCAATTCCAAAAAAAATTCAACCTTGAACTTTATAAGGTGCTGCTCTAAGGGCTTCTTGTTATGTTGGGTTAATTTATAATTTGGCACAAGTTTTAGGTAGCACCCCACAACCTTCACAGCAGAGGAATCTGCAAGTGCAACAAACACAACAGGTATGTATGTACACCCATAAAAGCTAGCTTTTGGAAATCAGACATTGAAACAAGTAAATGAAACAAAATTTTTAGATGTTTATATAGATGAGCATTTAACATGGAAACCTCACATTAGCTTTGTTGCGAAACAAATCTCTAAGTCAGCCGGTATAATATTTAAGGCCAAATACTATTTATCATCCAAGACCAAGCTCTATACTATACATTAGTTTACTCATATATCACTTACTTAATTTTTTCATCGACAAAAATATGCTGTGCAAGCTATTACCAACTCAGACTATCGAGAACACTCTGCCCCAGTATTTGCTAAATTGAGCATCTTAGATATTTTCCAAGTCGACACATTGCAAGTATCTAAATTCATGTTTTGTTATCATCATAAACTATTTCTCCCTATGTTTCTCAGCTTGTTTCCTGCAAATAGGCAAGTACACAGTTATGACATTGGATAGCCCACTGTTATCAACCACATACTTTCGAACTAATCTGAAAAAACTTACAATACTCTACCAAGGTCCTAAAATTTGGAATTCTCTCCCAATATCGATCACTAGTTTGACTAGCCTTTTCACTTTTTAAAAAAAGATGACTGACTTTCCATAAAATGTGAATCCACTAAATACCAATTTTTATAAAGAAATGAAAGCAAGGGTATAAGTGCCAGTGAAATATATCATCATGAATGTATTTAATGATAATGATTGACCTATCAGGGAGGGTACTGTTTGTCTGAACAAAAGGTGTTAATGACAAGAAGTGCATTAAGTAACATTTGATGAAAAGGTAGTACGTTATGGTCCTGGTTGGCATTCTTCTTTTGAAGAGCAAATGATGCTCATTTTGTCCAGTACTATGGATGCTAGTTACATGTACATTGTGTTTATTTTAATGAAAATGCTCTAGGGTTTTTATCCAGATGGATTTTCTCGGTTGGTAGTACGCAATGCAAATCATATGAGAAATACTAAATTCATTGGTATCTCTGCTGATTTGCTACAATGTATGTAATGTATAATTTTCTTCTTTTTCAACCTAGGCTTCATCGTTGCCTTCTCAGCAACCGAAAGTATTTACGCGTCCAGGCGAGTTGTGATTATGTTGTATTTTGCCAAAGAGCCACGCTTAATTTCTGGAAATAGATTTTGTCAATTACCATGTTTAACTCCCATATGACTCGGGAAACAACAGCACTTAACTTTTAAGTCAGCAATTGAATGAGATATGGAGAGGTCTTGGTTTGTTATTTTTTTGTGGTATAATGTTCCTGCAGACCTTTGTCAAATTTTTCTGGTACTACCAAAGATTGCTTTTTGAGTGTAAATATTAAGATTACACTGTTCCAATCTAGCTAAAGCTAGTTGTCCTTGCCTTTGATAGTTCCAAGACGTTTCTTTTTTGACATAGTATTTGGCAGCCGCTTCATCAAGGCAATGAGCTGCTGCAACGTAGAGTTGAAGATTTCTGCATATCTTTTATTTCCTACCACTTACAAGTGGCAGGAATGGCTGAAATGGCCTTCACGTGAACACAACAGAATCCTATGCGTGTATAACCATGTAGAACTATTTATTCGGTATCGAAATTACATCCCAAATGTCATGATATTTGACTGAAACTCAGCTTACCCATCTTTCGTTTAGACTTCGAAACTTGCTGCTTTTTACCACCATTTCAATGTTTTCTTGTTGTTCAAAAGGTGGTAGAGCCATTGTAGACCGTGATTTTTTTTTACTTGAGAACCAGATCACAATACCCAAGCCTTTTCACGCTAAAATATTAAACTACTGAGATTTCCTTCGCCGTCTTAAGCCGCCATTTTATCTTTCCCTGAATACTAGTTCCCAAGCTTCGAGCCCGAAGGTCTCACACATGCACCGAAATTATGCTATTCGTTATTTCAGGGCCAATTAAGAAATAACGATAATCGTTATTTTGGTCTCGAGATCATGTTGTCGACTTGATGCTAAAAACTAGTTGCCAGACTTCCTCGCACAAACAATTCGAAGCTAGCCTATTGAGAAACAATTTTAACCTCAAAGAAACTGCGACGAGCAAAAAGATAAACAATTGTTAATGAGAGGTCAAAAGACGCTTTTCAAAATACTTTGTTTCTTAAAACTGTTTCTGAGAACTACCCCTTGGCCCGCACTCAGACCACTCTTTACAGCATGATCATGTTACCCGCCAGTGTAAGTAAAAACAATGAGAGTCAGATAGCGTAGAGACGATAACTCAGTATGAGCAGATTTTCCTACAGTAATCATGAAGATTATACTTCCTTTTTGCAGTAGATGTGTTTAATAGTCCCAGCATAATTCGCAATGATATTGAAAAGTTAAAAAAAGAAATTGAAATGATGAAAAAACATATGGAGGAAGTGAAACAAGTAATGGTGTGGATAAACGAAAAGTTGGAAACGGCAGGCAAGAAACTTGTAAAAAAAGTTGATAAAGCGTGGAAAGTGGGTAAGAAGACCAATGAAAGTATGGAAAATATCCAAAACCAGTTGCAAAAGCAGCAGAACAGTAGGACTGAGAATGCAACCGGAAGGAAGCGCAGCAAGGAGAAACAGAAGGTGGACCCCCTCTGTCGTGTAAGTCACCTGTCAAAGAAGTAGTCTTCAGTTCGCTTATACTCAGGAAAAAATTAAGAGAAACAGGATTTTCTAGACAATTTCCAGGTTTTAGATTACCTCCGGTGATCAAAATACTCAAATCAAGTTGTGATCAGGATATCCTTGTAGAGTGTGATTTGTAATTCATTCCCTGTTCTACCTTTTCAAGCGTTGTTCAAGCTTTTGGGAACATTTGATATCCTAACCGTTGGCAAATGGTTAAATACTGAGAATAATCTCTTGCAGAAATTTTCACTTAATCTAACACAAAGAAGTGTTTATATTTTCAATACAGGACACTTTTCGAAAAATGTACAAAAATCTTAAAAAGAAAGAGAGCTTTCAAGGATTTGACTTCAAACGAAGGTAAATTTACTTATCATTTTGGAAAATCTATCTATTAAGGATTACGGGAAAAGACATAAGTATTTATTCATTTGATGTATCTGGATTATAACTATAAACTCTAGAGCAGAAGTTTGAATCGAGTTAAAGTGATTCCCTTGTCCAGTGTTTGTCGGAGTGTACCGCACAAGGATTGACCTCTGAAATCTTCGGTAGGCTTGCCAACAGAGACTCCCTACCAAGTGATCTTCAGATCCGAGAAATCAACCCTCAGTGACAGAATGACTTAATTTGTTGCAAATCAGGTTAAGACCAAGAAAATAATGCAGTGGAGTTTTTTTCCTTTCCAATGCAAGCTTTGACTCAGCGGAAAACGAGGAAGTTTTAAAGAAAGTGAAAGGAAAAATGTCTGGTAGCAATGGCTCCTGCAAGTGGACAGATGAACAGATAAAGGGTAAGTTGGTGGTAATTATTTCTCTTTACCTATCATTTTAGCTTTTATCATCTTCTTGTTGACTTAAGTTGTTTCTAAGTTGTGGAGGTGTTTATGGCTAATTTCGTTTGCACTGAATATCATATTGCTATGTGTGCCCACATGGTAGACCGATTTTCCTCTTAACGTTCTTGATTTTGTTGCGTGTCACTACTGCCGCCTTACTGCTTCATGTAGACTTGCATCATAAATGCAAAAAACTTATGAACTCACCTTGGCCTCTTTACCCATCAGCCCATAGATGCTTCTTCAGTTCTTAGGCTTGCCGAAAATGTGAAACCAACCTAGTATTTTTTCACTTACAGTTGTTGGTCGAAGATATTACTTGTCTTTGTACGAAACAGACAAGAAAAAATCTGACAACAAGTACGACGAACACAAGATAAGTAGTCGACGTCAGAACAGGAAAAAACAGGTTTGTGCGCGTGTGTGGGTGGGTGGGTGGGTGTGGGGGGGGGGGAATTCGGTAATATGGGGAATTAAGAAAGCCTTATTCGATTATAAATAAATATGCAAAGCGTTTCCTGTAATGCTAATCTCCAGAGGCAATCGTCTCATGTAAATGACTAGATTGCTATGATAACTGGTGGTGGTTTCAGGAAAGCTTAAATACTGAAATTATAAGACCTTCGAATCTTTTCGCCTTTATTCATTGCTTTTGTTATATAACTTTGTTACTTCATTATAGAAATTGAAGAGAAGAACAGAAGCGCTGGATAAGATTAACTGGGTTATACATCAAAAAGGAAAGGCGGCTGAGGTGCTCACTGAGGAATATATGTCATCAGAAGTGTCAGAATCAGAAGAAGAGTCGCTATCGGGTGATGAAGGGTGTGTTAAAGAAAAGAAGTTGTATATCAGAACGGTTACGTGGGAGAGCGAAGAGCTCAAAACAATTAAAAACAAACTTGATGAAGAGTACGCCAGTCGTCAGACTTCTCGCGCTCGACGTCGTGAATTTCAAAGAGATAGGCGTCCCGAAGACGTTTCTTCACGTCCAAAACCTTACAACGGTCCATCATGGGCTTTCAGGAAGGACGATCAACAAATAGAACCCGGATTGGAAGGCTGAAATTTTATTTAGTATCGAGCACCCTTTTGCCTATATATTTCCCTCGCAGTTTAAGATATTTATGATAAATGGAAGCTACGCAGTTTTCAATAGATGTTTTAGTATTATGATAAATGGAAACAATTGTAAGGATTTATTTAGGTTTTCTGTTGGATTCACTCACCTATGGCACCCTTTTCAAAGGAACAGCAGTCTATTTGTATGATATTTCTTCCAAATAAGGTTGAAAATGGGACAGAACTACAGTTTACAGTTCTTCCAAGACTACCAATGTATCTCACAAAGGCGATTTCCAAATAACTTCACGAACTCTGTCAACAAGTTCTCAGTTTGTTAATGCTGTTGACGATGATGCCTGTTGATTGGCCACATGAATGTATTTTAGCAAGCAGTTCATTTCGAGTTGACTCATTGACAAAAGCTTCAAACGTCATTACTTACTAGGGAAAGCTGTAATTAATGTATTACTTGAAATATCAACGATAACAGTGACAGAGTAACAGGCCTTTCTCGTTTTCCCGTTGACTCCGACTTGAATGGAGAATTTCTTTCTGAAAACCATTCTGTCCGGTCTAGATCTGTGTGGCGATACCTGATCCGGTCTTTCTTGTGTAAGCACGACGATTCTACAAACAATACTTGTCATTTGAGAGAAAGTAGGAAGCTCCTTGGGGTGCTGAAGGCATGTGCCTCTTCACTACATGTTCCTTGTTGTTGACTCTATCTTTGCTCTGCTTTCCGAGTTATCCATCATAACTCTGTAGAGGATAAAACAAACAAGCTTTCCAATTTATTCAAGGTAGGGTTACATAAATTACACGCTCTGACACACTGTAAACTTTAGTTTTCTTACCGCTTCTTACATTTATTCTATAAGTTTTACATGTTAAGAATACCACAGATTGAACATTGTTATACCTTTAATTATCACTTATACAGTAAATACTTGAGTCGTAGGAATACTCCTACTCTCAATTTCTTTATGGCCTGTTACATTTTTTTAAAAGTACATAACTTGCGTTGAGGCTCTTTTCTTGCCACCAAAGATTCTGGTTCATAGAAAGCAACGTTCATTAAACAAAGTTTTTAAATTTCAGTTGTACGTGCATGTTTTTAATGGCCACCAACATTTACCTTATATGCTCCATGGGGAATGAGAACTTAATAAGTCTGACAGCATGGTTTTATTAATGTATGATTTTTTGGTTGTTCTATTTAAGGCGACTCATTCCAGAAAAGAAATTTGTACAGACCAAAAGTCTGCCTTTCTAATTTGTTATTAGCAAGATAATACAGTACATGCACATGTCTCTGCTTGAAGCTTTAAATTTTAAGTTAGAACAAGTTTTAAAACACTCACCTTGTTATCTCTTCTTGCATGTTGGAACTGTAGCTAGGTGAATGATACAGAGTTTCTGGGCTGAATGATTACTGGCCCAGTTAAAACCACCAACTGTCAGGGAGAGAGGGGAAAAAGAAAAACCAGAACAGTTACTAGAGGAAGTCATGTTTGAAGGAGTTGCAAATGATATCAAGAAAGGGAAATGTAATTACAAAGAGATTGACATTGCATTCGAATGTAGTGTAGACCTAGTGGATAATAGTACTTTCAAGCCTACATTTGGCTTTTAACTTAACCCTTTAACTCCAGTTTGTGATTAACTTGTTATTTCTCCCTCCATTTATTACTCAGCAAGCAGGTGATGAGAATTAAAAAAGAAAGTTGTTATTTTGATCTCACACCAAATTCTCCCAGATACTTTTCAAGGAAATGTGTAGCAGTTATAGGGG